GGGGATGATCTAGAATTTGTGAAATCCGTCATACTGGTCCAAAACAACTTGCAATATCGACGTACTCAAATCTTAAAAACTTTAATATATTGTCAATTGAATTATAAATTCATTGGCTGCTATCAAATCAAAATTCTATTCTCATATTATTTATTATTCGACTATCTTAACCTTGAAGTATGCTTAGTTTTCCACATAATATATAGCTATAAAATCTAAAAAATTGACTATCGAACAACCGAATCTTGACTCTGAAGATATATTCCATTGGATGGATAGATCATATTGGCCTTTGTGTCGACTGCTCAACCATTGATTTTGCTAACACATCATGATAAAATTGTGTTTTTATTGTTGAGAAATATTTTTTATCATTATTTAAAACTTTAAAAAGTCACTTTTTTAAATTATTTTAATATTTATTCTCATATGGAGATTATACTTACAACATTTTACAACCAGATATTAAACATTGATTTTTGTAAGTATGATAATTATAATTTATTGAGAATTAATAATTAATTAATAAGTGTGACCCAATAAATTATAATCATCACATTAGCAGAAATCAACGTGTAACATTTGGTTGTAAGATGTTATAAACGAAAAGATGTTGTAAATATAATTTTTCTCTTATTCTCATTCATAAAATAATGCTTTTTAATTTTCATTTGTGCAACTTTGTTAGTTTTTAATTTTCAATTTTTTATACAAAGGAGTGGCAAAGGCCTCTAATACAAAGTCCATTCTATAAAAGAAAGATGCATGCTAAATCATCTAGTAATTAAACACGTCAACCCTAAGTGTAGAAGAATGGGATTAAAACCAGCTACTATATATATTATTCCCTTCTGTATGGCCATGAATGATGTGCACATGCACGCCTCCAATTCTTATTAAGTATTAACAATATCTGCAATCATTTGACCAATATTATTCGCACAAGCATAGATTCTTGACACCCCTAAATGGGAAACTCATCATTTTCGATCCAAATAGCAGAAGTCATCGAATTTCAAGGACGTTGAAGCCTCTTTTATATAAATACTCCAATTTAAAGCTTAGTAAGAAAAACATTCGTAGATCTAATACTACAAATAAAGCCAAAAGTCCAAGAACCAAAATCATCTTTGAAAACTATTTCTATAAAGGTAAACCGTCGTGATAATATATCGAAAAGAATTAGTTTAAACAGAGAAGAAATATGACGAGATAAGTGGTTTTGGCGTGTGATAAATGAACATTTCCAAAAAGAGAATTATTTTATAAATGAGAATAAAATATAAAAAAAATAAAAATTATACAAATGTGTTAATAAAAATATTTAAGTACCAAAAACCCATATCTATTTTAATAAAAACAATCTTATTTTTTACTTAGGAGAAAGATACATGGCCTAGAAGTCTAATTCTCAGATTGTGCCTGCACAAATTCGTGTAAACTGTAATTTTTGTTGTTAATTAAAAGGATAGAGAAAGAGTTTACCAAAAAAATAAATAAATAGAGAAATTAAAGATTTTGTATCGTAAAAGATAAGTATAAGAAGTGACATTTTTGTTTTGACAAAAACTTGAAAAATAAAAATAAACACAAAGGTCAATAAAACCACCTCATATCAACAACAGCTTGAATTGTATAACATATTTTTAAATTAAATTTCTTCCTCTTCTACTCAATAATGAGGTCATGTTGTAAATTAGGTAAAGAACTTTGAGATACACCACCCCAAAAGCTAGCTCAAAGGATGGAAATAAAACCACCTCATATCAACAACAGCTTGAATTGTATAACATATCTTTAAATTAAATTTCTTCCTCTTCTACTCAATAATGAGGTTATGAACATTGGAATACACTACCCCAAAAGCTAGCTCAAAGGATGGGAATAAAATCACCTCATATCAATAAATTAAATTTCTTCCTCTTCTACCTCAATAATGAGGTCATGTTGTAAATTATGTAAAGAACCTTGGGATACACTACCCAAAAAGCTAGCTCAAAGGGCGGGAATAAAACCACATCATATCAACAACAGTTTGAATTGTATAACATATTTTCAAATTAAATTTCTTCCTCTTCTACTCAATAAGGTCATGGTGTAAGAAACTCCACAAAAGAAAGTGGGGGGCGGCGAGGCTCTGATACATCTAAAGAACTTTGAGATACACAACCTCAAAAGCTAGCTCAAAGGATAAGAGTGTCCTAGATCTTATAAACTCCACATTAATTGCTCATACAACCAGTCTGGGACTATATATTTCAACAAATTATTTCATCATTTGCATAATAAAATTGATATCAACAATAAACATTAATATGGTCCCCGAAGTCCCTGACCGTAATGGGTGCGGTCCCCTAAACAGTTTGTAATGGTCCCCTCAACGTAGGTAATGGTCGTACCAATTAGGTTTGTATTCAATTGGCCTGCCACGTTTGATGCGTCGTTTGTACATGGTCATGTATATTGTCGTTGGTTTCCAAATTGATTTTGGGATATTTTTGAAAAAAAAAAAATAGATATATTCAAATATTTTTGGGATATTTTTTAATCAAAAGGGTACGAATTATTGGGTTTATTAATATTATTGATCAAATCATTATCTTTCAAAATAAGTAAATAAATAAACCATTATCTTATCTCGTGACATAGACTATTTGTTTGTGAGAAAAACAGCACCTAGCTAGGAACAAACATGACTTTGAGAAACTTACAAGTTTTTAGATACACTCAAGAAAGATAATGGGTTAAAGCCAAACTTTAATATAAGATATTTACCTTATTTAATAAAATTAAAATTATTTTTTTATCTAAAACTGTTTTTTAATTTTTTTAAATTAATGCAAAGTTACACACACATATTGATAATTCATCAATTTGTTTTATTTTTTAAAACATTACTGATCTTTATCAATGTTTTAATAGAAGGATAAATGTTGAATATGTCGCTATCGAAGTAGATCTAAGAGTACTTCAGTGGAATGTTTTTACGTCAGGCTGCGCAAAAAAAAAAAAAAAAAATTTGAATATGAGGGTGGGAAAGCGAGAAAGAAAATAAAGTTTAACCATTCTTGTTATTAACAAAGAGAAAAATATTGTTATCAAAAAAAAAAAAAAAAAAAGAGAAAAATATTTTTTATGCAGTTACTGCAGATAGATTATCTGCATTTACTCCTAAAAAGACATCATTTTTTATTGAAATATTAAAAAATTATAATTATAATTATAAAGACTATAATAACTCTGAAATAAATTAAAATTACAAAAATATCATGATTTCTGCCCCAAAACAATATCGTATTGAGCTTATTACAGATAATTTATCTGCAATAACTGAATAAAAACGAATCAATTAACAAATTATAAGAGTGAAAAAGAAAGAAGTTTGATTTTATAAAGAACAAAATTTCAACGTTATTTAACTGTGTTAAAAATATAAGAATCGGGAAATAAAAAAGCAGACAGGCAACTCATAAATAGAGAGAGAAAAATTATGAAAATGATTAGGTTATAACTAATTAACGATAAGAAATTTATAAATTAGGGACTTTCATTTATTAGGAATACATATAACAATTATATGAATCATATATATAATAGTTTTTTTTGGTATATATATAATATACAGAAAAATAAATAATAATAGTAATAATATTAACGTGTAATTTTTTAAATATAATCAATTTTGATGCCTAAAATTTTGAGAACCTCCGAGCGAGTTTTACCAACCTTGCTTGAGCATGTCCATATCCACGCTAACGCAATCTATCATTTCATTAGAGAAATACACAAATAAATTATATTTGCACATAAAAATTTAACACTGTTTATATATATATATATATATATATATCTGTGTGTGTGTAGGGTTAGCATCATTTTACACCAGTGTAAGTTACACTCCCAATTTTGTCCGCTGATCTCACTTATATCTAAGGGCTCAAATTTTTTAGTAATGTGAGCCATTAGATACAAATGGATCAATTATCAAGATTGAGTGTAAGACTTCTAACTCTTACACCAGTGTAAAAATATCCTGCTCTATATATATATATATATATATATATATATATATATGGGAAATCATGCTCTATGGCAATAGTAGAGCAAGAAAATTTCCTGCATAAATTCGTTTCCGTGCCAATTAATTTTTTTTAATATAAAATGTGAGACCCACATTTAATTTGTCTTTATTTTTGTTCTCTCATATTATCATGCAACATAAAAAAACATGAACCCGCCAATAAAGGTGGGCACAGTTGGCTAAGGGTTTCCCTCTCAGAAATTCTCAAAGAGATTGGAGGGTTTTCCCTGACCCTAATGGATACCGGTGTCTAACCCCACTTAAATTTTTCTTGTACTAAAAAAAAGAAAACATAAACCCTATATATATATATATAGAATAATAAAGAAATTCTAATATACTACCTTATTTTTTTCTCAAATAAATAAAGTATAATAATATTAAACGTTTTTGGTAGCAAATATCATTAGTCGAGTTGGCTCTCTCAAACCATATAAAGCGAGATAAAAAGCTTGTTACCACTTAATTAATTTAACAATGGAAAAATAGTATCTAATGTTACTTTAGTCAACTTTATCTAATATTCACCGAAACAACATCGTTTTGGGATTGAAAAATAAAAAAATTAAAATGATAAAAATTATTATAACCCTGCAATAAATTAAAATTATAAACACATTATCGTTTCCGTCTCCAAAAACGAACTTTAGAAAAAACAAACCCTTTGACTATACGCATAAACAATGCTTTTTGGTTAACTGTATATATGTTTTATTAGATGAAAAGTCATACGTTAGAACCTAGAAACCAAAGAGTGGATCCCAAATCTCGCGGAGAGAGATTCTGACAAAACAAAATGACGATCGATCAGTTAAATTATTTTCCCATTGATTGACATGGGTTTGTTTGTTAGTACCACGAAACAACTATATTAGGAAACACCTGCAGCGTTACATTACATAACAAAATGAGTAGTGACATGGAATATGGGGTTGTGGGTTTGATCTTAGCCATGTTGGCGTGGATGGTGTGGCTAATGGTGTTGGAACGTAGGCAGCTAGGTCAGCTTCCACCTGGACCAAGACCATGGCCAGTGGTTGGCAACATTTTCCAACTAGGTTGGTCACCCCACGAGTCCTTTACCAAACTGGCTCGTAAACATGGTCCTATCATGACCCTTTGGTTAGGTTCCATGTGCACTGTGGTTATCTCCTCCAGCGAAGTGGCTCGTCACATGTTCAAAAACAACGACGTGGTTCTTTCTGGAAGGAAGATTTACGAGTCCATGAAAGGGAATCATGGTCATGAGGGCTCCCTCATAACTTCTCAATACGGCACACACTGGCGCATGCTGAGGCGCTTGTGCACCACTGAGTTTTTTGTGTCAAGTCGTTTAGATGCCATGCGAGGTGTGCGTTCAAAATGCATAGATCGCATGTTGCACTTGATAGAAGAAGCTGGTGAATCTGGTACTTGTGCCGTTGATGTTGGGAGGTTCTTTTTTTTCATGTCTTTTAACCTTATTGGGAACCTCATATTCTCAAAGGATTTATTAGACCCTGAAATGGAGAGAGGGACTAGATTCTATTGCCATGCAGTTAAGGTTATGGAGTATGCTGGGAAGCCCAATGTAGCAGATTTCTTGCCAATATTGAAGTGGCTTGACCCTCAAGGTATAAGGAGGAAGACACAATTCCACGTTGAGCGAGCCTTTGAGATAGCTGGATTCTTCATCAAAGAAAGGATGGAAAATCGTTGCTGTGGAAAGGAGAACAAAGACTTCTTGGATGTACTCTTGGAGTTTAGTGGGGATGGTATCAGCGCACCCTATACTTTTTCTTCAAGAACCATTAATGTCGTTGTCTTTGTAAGGCCCTTCGCTCGCTTTTCCAACTCATATATATTCATTATACATATATATTAATGGGGAAGATTATATTGAGAAATTTTTTTTCTTACAAACTACACTAAGTCATACACTCTCAATCGAAGTCTGACTAGTCAGATTTAATGTTATTTTTAAGAAAAAAAAGTTTGTCAATATAACCCCTCCCTATACTAATTGAGAAGAGTTATATTAATAAACTTTTATTTTTACAAATTTACAAACTACATTATATGTTACCGGTAAGACTTCACTCAAGAGTGTCTTACCTTAAGACATAATGTAATTTATAAATATAACATATCTCCTACTAAATAGCTATATATTAAGGACCTTGATGTTGACAAGAATATTTGGTTACAGGAAATGTTCACTGCAGGGACAGACACGACAACAAGCACAATGGAATGGGCGATGGCAGAGCTTCTGCACAATCCAAGTACGTTAAAGAAAGTGCAGATGGAGATAAGGAGCAAAATAGGCAAAGATAGGAATATGGAAGAAAAGGATATAGAGAATATTCCATACCTTAAAGCAGTCATAAAAGAAACACTGAGACTTCACCCGCCTCTTCCTTTTATGGTTCCTCACATGGCAGTGGACTCTTGCAACATGCTAGGCTACCATATTCCCAAAGAATCACAAATTATAGTGAATGTTTGGGCAATTGGGAGGGACTCAAAAGTGTGGGATGCTCCCTTGTTGTTCTGGCCAGAAAGGTTTTTGGAGCCTAACATGACGGATTACAAGGGACACCATTTTGAGTTTATACCCTTTGGTTCGGGTAGAAGAATGTGTCCGGCTATGCCACTTGCCTCTCGTGTGCTTCCTCTGGCACTAGGCTCGCTCTTGCACTCCTTTGATTGGGTTTTGCCAGATGGCCTTAAACCAGAGGAGATGGACATGACAGAGGGAATGGGAATAACGCTAAGAAAAGCTGTTCCTTTGAAAGCCATACCAGTCCCTTTCAGAGGAACTCATGTTGTAGAGGAATAAAACTATTATGGCATCGAAGTGTTCTATGTAAACAAAAAATTCACAAATGATTTACTGCCTTCCAAGACCCTTATTATCATGCGGAATTGCTTCCCTGGTTTTGTATATTTTGGTTTGCTAGGTTGGTTTTAAGTTCTAGTTAATCGATTTCCGTCCCAATTGAAGATTGTTGTAAAGAACATGGTTTGACTAGTTTTAAGTTCTATTGTAAAATACAGCTATATATAAAGATGCACCAACTATATGTTCCTTTCATACATACTAGCTAGGATCTTTGTACGTGCTCTAGCTCGAAAGTCTTGAAAGATATATATACCAATAAATTTCAGGTACTCCTGGAGGTTGCTGTTTCTGATTATATTTAGGTCATTATTTTTTTGATCTTAGACTTGCCATATTCGTTATTCTTTTGATCATAGTCTTGCCATATTCAGTATCAAGTGGGAAGACAATTGTGCACACTTCACTTACACGTACAAATAGGGGACAAGAGAGACTCAATTATAACTAAGAAAATGAACGACGGCACTTTACCTCCCATTTTCAATCATTCAGCATTGTAAGTTGTTTTATAAAGTGATTCTAAATTTTATCATTTTCATAATTTTTACCTACTCAAACCAACATAGCCATGAAAGTACCAGTTGACTGAACTAGCAAAATCTTCTGCAAATAAATACAAATATTAAATCTTGCCTTCACACACCCATCCTGAGGCGTATGAATCATTTAGCAGTTGAAATAAAAAGAATTTCCCAAATCAACTATCTCTAGCAAAAAAATATCAACATAGCCATACTCAACCCGATCACCAATTGCTGGACCTATTCTGTATCGCATTTCACTAATATAACGACATACTTACAAGCAATGAAAATCTCCCAATAAGGATCCGTCGAGGAAAAAGCCAAAAAAGAGAGGAAAGGAAGATGTAACATGGACATAGGCACTAGAATAATAAAGCCAGCCTTCAATACTACCACGGATCTAGAAATATTTACATCCTATGCACATTACCAAAACTCAGTTTGCTCTATGTTGAACAAAACATAACCATGTACGCCATAAGTTGATCTGGTACCTAATATGCTATTTCTTAATGAAGCTTACGCTTACACCTACGGATTGCAGCTGCTCTGCCAGCATTTTCCTCATCACATTGAGGAGATTCTTCTACAACACCTTCCTCCTGCACAATGAGCCCTCGATTCCGCGATAGCTTCCTTATAGGGGTTACAGCCAAAGCTGGTTGGGAATTGTCACCACCCATCTCAGCCTTGGAGTCAACCACAGTGCAATATTGAATCCTATTTGGCATTAGCTCGTGGCCATCAGGCACCATATCCTTCATTAACTGAAAGCAATGTTGACAGGTTTACAGAAGAAAAAATCATAATGCAATGTCCAGGACTACAAATAAAACAAAGAAATGGATTGTGAACCATAGTATTATTTGTTTACTTCACATAATCCATCAATTCACATAACCAACAACCAAAATAAAAGTGTTGGGTAATTTACTGTAATAACAGCAAAAACAAAAGTTTTTCAAGCATCATTTTTTTATTTCCTTCCTTCTCTGAAAGCTATTGGTTGAACAAAGTACTATACAATAAATCTTCTAACTGCCAGGAAAAAAAAAACTCAAAACATTATTATCTTTTGGGAAAATGTTTATCCTTTTAAATGACACAACTTATATTCTTTCACTCTCACAAAGAGGTGGGACCCACACCTTTATTTTTTTGTCAACTCTCTCTCCTCCTTTATCTATCTCTTTCTCTCTTTTAAAATGACACAACTTTACATCCTTTAAAATGATACACACTTTACCCTTATCTTTTATTCTTTTTAAACAATAATGATGCTGTCACCCTAAAATGATGGCATCCCACTAAAAATATCAATTATTGGTTTAAATTAACAATATGCACCTTGAGTCCCACTTTATGAGTACTGAACCTGTTCATACCTTCCAATCTTGGTAATCATATCTGAACACGAAATGAGTGTAAGAAACTTCTTTTGACATTACTGAGTTTGCAGCTGGAGCATTTTTCGGTGCTGAAAAAGAAGATAGCATACATTTAAGTACTGATGGTACAAAAATTGAATAGGAGGCAAATATAATTGATTGTGGAGGAAACATCTTACAAACATAGTGTGAACCGTTTTCATCCAGACTGATCTCAGCACGACCATCTTTCACTAAGAATGATAAGGAAAACAAGTTTTCCACCGTCTGAGCAAAAGATGTTCTGTTCAAAATTAGGCTTTCAAGTCGGACACGTTTCATTCTCCTTAAGATGCCAAACATCGTCAACATGTTGTTGTCAGTATCAGTTTTTCCCTCTCCTCCGGTATCATCAAGCTGTTTCGAATAAACAATAACTATAAGTACAGACCAAAGTACTTGCAAGCACATGACGTAGTTAAATTGATTCCTAATCTATTTTGCAATAATCAAAATGTCACCAAGTTAAACATTGGTAAACCCTCCCCCCTTTTCTTCTATAGCCAACACGGAAATTAAGGAATATGATGTTCATTATCGAGCATTCTTTTCACTGGTTTAGGAGTGTATATTAGTTAAATGGCACACACCACCCAGTAAACCGACAAGGAACATAGCAAGAAGGAAAGCCAAGTGACCTGTTCAGGCCTAGCCGTTGCAGTTGGGAAAGGATCTCGTTTTCTGTGTACTCCTGTCTTCCGTTGCTTCAACTCATTTTGCATGGGACCAAGCCTTAAAACGAGCAACACAAAACAAAATCATAAGAGAGGGTAAAGCATATTTTGAAGAAGGACAAACAAACAAACAAAAAAAAGACAAAAACCCTACAAGAAACTCACATGGTAGAACAGCCATGAACCTTGAGAAAAAAGGGGGATACAGCAAGGTCAAGTTTTTTCCAGTTGATTGAATTTAGCGAAGAGTCTTGGGCATAGTGTTTGAGCAAAGAGCCAACAAATTGAGAAGGTGTAACATTCTCATTCACCAGAGATCTAACAGATCCAACCAAAGTGCGAGTCAAATCCAGCAGTGCCTCAGCATCTGCAACCTGCTCTCTCGGCTTCTCAACTGAAAAATCAGATACATAATCAACCAAATGCAAAGAACCACAAACATACTTCGGTTGATAGAATTATAATTACCTTGCTCATGTAACTTGTCGAATTCATTCAATATGTTATCGAAATTGTCGGAATCCGCCGTCACCAAATCATCTTTTTTCTCTGTTACATTTAGGGTTAGGGAATTTTTTCAAAATAAAATAAGAGGATATATTTGAAATTGAAGATTGATAATACCATTAATAAGGGTCTTGAGTTTGAGAAACTGGGAGCGTATGACCCTGCGACTGGCGTGGTCCTGTTTTTCATGCTCATGCTCGTGATTATGGTCATGGTCATGGTCATGGTCACGGTCACGGTCACGGTCATGGTCACGGTCACGGTCACGGTCATGGTCATGGCCATGGCCATGGCCATGGCCATGGTCGGCGGTTTTAGTTAGTCGTTCCTTCTTGACAGCTCGGAGTTGTTCTACACCTTTGCCTCTGCGCGAACCTCTCATGGCTTTCTAAAACCCTAATTTCAGCCAATGAATTTTGGTAAGGAAAAGGGAATGGGATTTTGAATTGAAATCACCACATTCTCTCTCCCTTCTTTGAATTTTGATGAAAGCCAAAATACAAATGGAGGGTTACTTTTCCCGCTATCTAAAACTGACCTAATCTATTTTTCTTTTCATTTTTCACTTTTCACCTCAAGTCTGTTTTTCACTTTGGAATTTTTATTTTTATTTTTGGTATCTTTCACTTTGGACTTTTCTTTAACTAAAAGAATGGAAATAAAAAACTATAAACTTTATTTGGATGTTACAAATTCATTAAAAAATAGGGATTAGTTAAATAAAACAATTAATTATAATATAAATTTATACTTTAAACAATAATATAATACACTTCTTCCTAAACTTAAAAAAAATATCTCTCTAAAATTTTTTCAACGGATAACTACGATTAAAACGTAATATTTAATTTAACAAAGAAAAAAAATAAGTAAATCCAACTGATAAATTTGTGATTTGATACCTGTTGTCATATTTTATTTTATTTTTTGGTATCCTTGTTGTCATATTTTTATTTCCTTTATGCATGTACGTAGCTGTTCATTTTATTTTTCTTTATCCAATGAAATATGCTTGATTGGATAATTGTATCCAAAAGATATAATCTTGTTGGAAAATAAAGCAATAAATTTAGGGAATATATCCTCTCTCATCAGCCATAAAAGAAATCTCAATCATTTAAATACAAATCAACCCTACTGAAATGACACGTAAAAATAAAGTGATTGACATTTCTTGTATAAGAGGATAGAAAATTATTTTCTATAATTTTAAAATCACATTATTTTGGAATATGAAAAAAAATACTAGAATTTTAATAAAATTTATTAAAAATAATGTAATTTTTTTAAAATATCTTACATTTTTTTAAATCTCAAGACAATTTCATTTTGAGATCGTAAGAAATAATTTTATCTCCTGATATGTGTGAGAAATATTTTTCAAAAAATAAATGGTGAAAAAATATAACCATCAATATATAATTCAAAAACTGAAATCCACTCGGTTACTTCACGTCGGATAAGAGAGAGATCCATTCTTCAAAATTTAAATAAAGTATTTTTACATTATTCGTGAAATTCTATCTTCTATATTGCAAGTACATATATTTATATTAGCAAATTTGCCACTCTTACACAGTTACACTGTTTAGGCACTGAGTACTTTGTCTTAAAAATTCTAAAATTTTAATGTCGTCATAGATGGTTGGGTAGAATTACGATCAACGAATAAAAAATAAACATCTTTAAATTCTAGAAGCATGTTTCAAAAACATTCACGGATACAATCAATTAATAATAGTATTTCTTCTTGTTAGCAGAAAGAAAGAAAAAAAGTATTTATTCTTCTTCTTTTTTTCACAAGAGTGATGAAAATGTTAATTGTTGGATTAAGTTGTTTCAAATATCGTTTATCTATCAAATGATAGTAATTCAGTTGATACATGAGATATGAGTAGGTGAGAATGAGAACATGTGTTCAATCCTCTCCAAAATTTATTTTTGGAGAAATTTAAAACTTTAATTTTAGATCTTTTTCAAGTAGAATTGTCTCTCGAAAAGGATATATATGATTTATCTAAAAAATAATAATAATAATCGTTTATGTTAGATTTTGATTTTTTTAGATATATGGAGTATATACGATTTTTAGATTGAGATAATATGACTATATTTTTCCAACCATTCTCTATTTACTGTGGAAAATGAAATGAACTTTGTTACGGACTTACTTTTTGTAGAGATAAAAATATATATTTTTTTTTTACAAAACATCAAAATTTCTTATAGTTTGCTTCAAAATCATTTAATTTTTTGTATATTTTTTATCACTTATCTCTCGTGTGAGTTTTTTATTCAAGTTAATTGTTAACGTTGTTAAATATTGAAATTATTTATCCATTTTACTCTTGCGAATAATAATAATAATAAATACAAGGAGGATAAGCGATTAAAAAAGATAAATACAAATAATAAGTGGGGATAAATAATAAAATATTAAACTATAGCGCTTTTTTTAAACTTTTCCCTTGCAATAGTCAAAAACGAAAAAAAATTAATGTGAGAAACAATATGAAGTTCAGTTAATGAGTTATATAATCAAGGCAAATAAAGGGTATTGTGTTCAAATATCTTCCACGTGTGTCTTTTAGGAGGCGTTTGGTATCCCATATTTTTCAGGATTCTCAGAAAATTGAATTTTTTTAAATTTTTAATTTTTAGATATTATCATAAACTAAATATTTTTATCATATTTCTGAAAATCGAAATTCTCGGATAAAAAAAAATTCTCCTCTACCAAATGTCCTCTTAAATCTGTTATTTATACGAGTCTTTTATGTTTTTCAATCGTTGTATTTGAATGTGTCATTGTTATATATGTATATGGATGCTAAAGAAAAATATTAATATTATCCTAATAATTTAATTTTTTTGATTTTTTTAATTTTAATGTAACCTATTTTTTAAAGAAGAAACTCAAAAGTAGTATTTGAAAAATAGAAAATTAAAATAATAGAAATACAACACCAATAAAAAATCTATTTATATTTTACAAAAAAAAAAAAATTACACTAATTAATCCTAATTTAAGTAAATTGCAAGAGTACTCAAAAGTATAACAATGATCATCAAAATTCTAATTTTTTTTCACAGTGAGGTATTCAAACTTTTTTTCTTGAGCAATAAATTATATAGGATGTTGAACAAAATATCCTTTATTTGTGTTGATCATATATACTTCATTATTCTGTTACATATTGTTCCTCCCTTCAATTTTTTTATTTTAATTTTTGTAAGGGATTAGTTCAAAAACTTGCCTATGATTTAATATTTCATCACTTATCCCTTATACTTCTCTTTTTTAATCACTTATCTCCTCATGTTTTTTTGTCTTGCTCATTGAAGCAAAATGAATAAATTAACATAATATTTAATGGCAATAAAGGTGGATTTAGATGAAAAAACTCATAAGTGATAAAAAGAAAAAGTACAAGCGATTAAATGATTTTAGAGCAAATCATAAGAGATTTTTTGAATTTTTTTTTGTTTTATTTATTTAATTATTTTGCTTTATATGTATTTCTTTTCCTTTAATCACTTGTTGTTTATATGTAAATTTATGTACTCCGAATTTCAATTAATTTAGAATAAAAGGCAATATCGATGATTAGTTGATACTCGATCATTAAAAAAATTTAATATTTACAAAAAAAAATATATATATATATATATAGTTGATACCCAAATAGAATAAATACAACTTATAGTTTTCTCAAGACAAAAAATGAATTTATAATTCAGATAAAAACATATAAATTTGTAGCGCTAATCAATTTTAATATTACAAGACTTTTAGAAAAAAGTATCCAAGACTTGGAGCATGGGTCACTCTTGGAAATATTTTTTAAGATATGGAAGCACCGAAAACTCGGTGCTCCCTCTCGTAGGATCATCGATTTTTTCTTTTTTTCATCTTTTCCTTTTCTTCTTTCTCATTTTCATAAAGGGATCATCCAATTAACGGTGGTTTTTTTTTCTCCTCATTTTCACAAAGGAACCGCGCACTCAGTGATGGTCCCTCAACATAAAAAATTCTATCGGTCACTCTCGACCTCTCAGTCAAAAAAGAAGTAGTTTCCTTTGACTTAATTTCTCCACTCAAAACATATGTATTTTTTTCTCAGTCAAAAATACATATGTATAGAGAGGATCATCTTGTGAAGAGACTGCTACTCTTTTTAACATAATCAGGTACTCGAGGTTGCTTGCTCAGCAAGGCTTTCTTTGTTTTTGTCCTTCCCATAGGCTCTTTCCTTCCAAATGCTTGCCACTTCCTCAAACGTCAATCCTTTAGTCTCTGGCATGTAGATGAGTACAAAACCAATTGAAATCACTGCTACTGCCAAGAGAATCATGAAACTCTCACCAAGCCCTACAGCATCAACAACTGAGAGGAAGCTGGTGGACATTAAGACACTACAAATCCAGTTCACTGTTGCTGACATGCCACCACATATACCTCTATACTCTTCTGGATAAATCTCAGAGTTCACAGCCCATGGTACAGGACCCATTCCTGGTGCAAAGAAAGCAATATACAAAGCCAAACCAAAAACTGCAAGCCAAGCAAATGTTTGACTTGTGTTGCCATGTCCATGTCCTATAATATAACATGATGCAGAGAGGATGACCAAGGATGCGACCACACCCGATAAGCTACCAAGAGCAAGCTTTTTTCGTCCTAAAACGTCAATAAGGTAAATGCCAAGAACAGTAAAAGCTGCATTCATTCCAGAAACAATGAGTGAAAGGAACAATGCTGCTTGATTTGACTTGAAGCCAGCCATCTGTATGATGGTGGGACTGTAGTACATTATTATGCTTATACCAGTAAACTGCTGGAATGCCTGAAGTCCAGCCCCACATATGAATGCAAGTCTTATTTCTTTCATCTTGAAAACATCACTGTAGCTAACTTTTTTCTGATTTCTGCGTTCGCGCTCCATGTGATCTTCTAGAATACTAATCTCATCCTCCAACCGTGGTGATGAATATATCTTAGAAAGCACCCTAACCGCTTCTTCTTTCCTATTCTGTAAATTCATTCATTATAAGCAACAATCATATATATATGTATATATATATATATATTGGGGCTGCATATGTACAAATATATAAAATAAAAAGGAACAAATAAATCAGGAATATATATTAAGTGTTTCAGAATATGTTTTACCTTCAAATAAAGCCATCTGGGGGACTCAGGGAGAAAGGCCATGAGAATAAACTGAACGACAGCTGGCAAACCTGCAAGTCCAAGCATCCAACGCCATGTTCCAGGAACCTGCACATATTATATGCAAATAATTTAATTATTCGAAATTTTTAAGAATGGTTGAAGCCTCGTGAGAAGTCAAAACATTGGTACAAAGCAGTATTAGAGACTTACTCTTGTCAAACCATAGTTGACCACAAAGGAAAGAAACTGTCCACCGGTGACCATAAGGACATTGGCACTGACCAATCCTCCTCTAATTTCAGAAGGTGATGCTTCTGCAATATAGACAGGGGCAGTAACAGAGGCAGCACCAACACCAAGCCCAACCAGAAAACGACCACCTATGATAACGAAAGGATTTGGTGCAAAAGCCATTATAAGTGATCCGACGACGAAGTTTATGTCTGCAATTATAGTGGCGGTCTTGCGTCCCAGAGAATCATTAATCCAACCACCAATGGCTGCGCCGAAAATTGCACCAATCAAGGCCATGCCAACAATTAATTCCTGCAATTCAAACGTAAGTAAGGGTATTAGAATTAGAATGCTCCTAGCTCCCATTCATGCATATATATCAGCAAATGTTAATTAATTATGAGCCAAACCAAAACATGCAACTGATCTATAGTTACCTGAAGGAAGCTACTATTCTTGACCACCTCAAAATCCTCTTTAATATACAGAAGGGCCCCTGACACCACACCTGCATTTATGGAACCATATATATATACATGAGCTGAGAATTTCACAACGCACCAACCACAAATTAATGACATTTCAAATTAGAGAAATTGAAATGATTGTTAGGTAGGTACCAGTATCATAGCCGAAGAGAAGACCACCAATGCCGGCGGCAAAAGTGATACCGACGATGTAAGAGTTCTGAAAAAATGAGATTTTCCTTTCAGGATGCATCTCCAAGTAACCAGAGCTTCCCGCCATCATTGACATTCTCATGTCGGCCACCATTGTCGTTGGCTTCTTAACTGCCTCAACACGCTCACAACATACAAATTTGGAGACAAAGCAAATAACTAACAAGACGTACCGACGATTAATGATTAATTGCGAGACAACATTATATAGAGCGCCAAAACACTAAATTTGGAATTCCAGAGAAAGTAGTCATTCATTTCTCAACGATAATTAGCATTTTATGCTCTAATTTAAGTCATCAACTTATTGTTTACAATTAGTTTTTTCTGTTTTGATTAGTTGTAAGTTTGTTAATCTATTAGCTGTTAGTTTTTACTTAACAGATTAGTTTTCTGTTTAATTAGCTCCTTTTATAGTTGCTTATATAAATAACCTAGTGTATTAGACTCTTTCATTCTGTTCAGTAATGAAAGCAAGTTTGCTTCCCTCACAGTGCAAGACTCTGAAAGGAAAGACGGCGTTTGTTGTCCCTCCTTTTTTTGGCTTAACTTCCTACCATTCTAGTTACTTTACAGATCAAGCTTCGGTGTAATCAAACAAATATATATTCCTTCCTACCTTAATCAGATTACTTTATTGTATTTCAGAAATTAATTAGTAAATATGCTCAAATAATAGTAAATACTCGAGCAATTTCTAAGTTTAAGCTAAGCTTAGTTGTTTATTTAATTTTATATTTAAAAATAACATGTTACTATGAAAACAATAATATACATATAAAAAACTTACACATAAAATTTAAAGAAAAATTTTGTTTCGGGATGTGATTACCTCGTAGCATTTCGAGTGGATCTACCCATAACTTTCAAAGGTCAAATATTTCAATTTCCAGAACACGTACGAGAAAAATTCTTATGAAGTTGAGTTTGTTATTTCTATTCATTTTTTATGTTGAGATTATAATATATTCTAAATAAATCAGTCATGCATTTCTCAACTATTTACTAACATTTGCGGCTTTGAAGGGAATGACCGCATTGCTCTTATATTAGAACACTTTTTTTTTTTTTTTTGTAATAATATATTAGAAGACTTTGTCTTCTCCGCACATTGACTAACGTGGTTAATTTTCGCAGAATTGTTTATCATTGGTAGGTAGCTTGAGAAATTTATTTAACGATCTAGGTCAATGATGTTGGGAAAAATTACTAAAAACCCATTTATTATATTTTTTTGTGTGCAAATTTTTTTTTAAATATATTTGTGTGCAATTTTAGAATCCTGATTTTCACGTGTTCAGTTATGATTAAAATCTAGATACTATGGGTGTGCATAACAACCATTCTATTCTCTAGCATTGTTACTGAAAAGAAACAATTCTTTTTTATTTATGTGTCTTTGAACAGTCTCTGAGAAAAAGAAAATGTGTTTGATAACTTGTTCTATTTTCATTCCGAGAATGAGAATTGCGTTTGATAACACATCAAATAATATAATAAAAATAATTCTTATTAAACATAAAAAAATTTTGGATCATCATTTTTCATTTCATATGGTGTGGTGGTGGCGGCGGGGGTGACATGGAGGTGGTAGTGGTAGTGGCAGTGGCAGTAGTGTCGTGATAATAGTAGTGGTGGTGACGACAGTGGCTGCGACGATGATGGTAGTAATAGTGGTGGCGATGGTGGTGGTGGTGGCTGTAATGGCATCATGGTTGTGATGATGGCAGTGACTACGATGATGGTGATAGTTGACGGTGGTGGCGGTGGCGTGGTGATGGAAGTGACAGGGGAGGTGATGGTGATGGTGATGGTTGTGACATCCCCGTCTCGACCCGGTTCAATTAACATGCATATGATACAAACAGAAACAGCGGAAGACTTAACTTACGAAAATACGAGCTAACTTTTTCTTTTTTTTTCTAGTTTAATTCTTATTCGACGGAGACGAAAATCGGGCAGAGTAACCTCTGTAAATCGGACAACTGGGGATTTTTCAATCCCTCTCTCAAGAGTTCCTGATAGACAATTTATACAGTATATACTTTCAGCAGTACCAGACATCCAAATATAATCATATACCCATCCATGGGCGCATGCATAACTGGGCTCTGTGCCCCTACATCTAACAGCATGCAATCCAATACGTAAACATAACCGAATACTACATCGTCATATCAACATGCCTGAATACCCAAATGTACATGCATCATACTGAAAGACATGTACAGAACATATACAGGCCATATACATAGTAAAGGATCAGACATCATGATCCACAAAATGCTGAAATACTAAGTAACATAAATACACTCCAAAATAGTAGTAGCCTGCAGCTACTCAAAATCTGGTCCATCCAAACGCCTCAACCACAAGTCGCGTCCCTGCCTAGTGAGGGCTCACCGGAAATCTGAGAACCTGAAATGATGTCCCCAAAGAGGGGTGAGATAACAATCTCAATAAGCTTCAGGTTTATAGAGAATTCTCCATACCCCTGGCTCACTCCTGCATGAAAGTCAGATACAGACTATAGCAATGCAACATATAATAGATATCATAACCGAACCAAGCACATATACATATCTTATCAGAGGCGTATGCAGTCATCCTCAAGGGAGAACCCCAAGCGGAAATCGACGCACTTGTTCCCAAGGGAGGACCCCAAGCGGAACCAGAACATGTCAGAGGCATACACCGTCAATCTCAGGGGAACCCCAAGAAGACATCAGTGTATCTTACAATCAATACAGAAATCATATCAGAACAAGTCATATCATGTTATCAAATAGCTCTATATGAATGCATCTATACAAAGCATCAAAACAATCATACAATCCAACAACAGTTCACTAACTATGGCAGAGCACTCAAGCAGGAAAAGACTCTTTAAACATAGAGTTTACCTCTTGAAGCTTTTCTAGTTTGCTTACTTGTCGCACAAGTTACTTATATAGCTCCAACATGATCCAAACCCGTTTCAGTCCCTAGGCACCCTAGAGAAAGAATCCAAAACAAAATCAATAAAATGCTATCATGCCGAGATTTTACATAAGGCATACATTTTATCGCTTACTTTCGTTTCTTTACATTTTTGTCAATCCTATGCCAATATACAAGTCTAGACCATACTTTCATAAGTTTTCTTATTAGACAATTTTACCATATTAATCACTCCCTAGCCCCCAAAGACCCTAGATGGACGAAACCAATGTTAGGAATGGCTAGGAATTTACATCAATTTATTTGACAAAACCAATAGTTCCTAGAACCCTCACTTGGATCCTAATTTAACTCGGTACCCGCTTGAAAATTTTAAACATAATTTATGCCACTTTTCTTCATAAGGTCGTGGACATACCTAAAGGGAACCAAGATTTCTTTCAACGATTTTCAAGTCATTTCACTTCTTAATCTTATCAATTACATGCATTGGAGAAACAACACATTATCAAAACAAAATGTAACATAATTCATCATTAAATCACCCTATAGGCCGAAACATAGGTGTACACCATAGCATTTTTCTCACTTTGGTATTTTCATTTTTCCCCTTAAATCTCCACTTACACCAACATAACACATTCATAATCCATGTAATTAAATTTTTGCACAATAAACCATATTTAACCTATCAAGGCCGAAACCTAGGGAGGAAGGTGCAAAGGGACTTTTCAATTTTCAATCAAAGGTTGATGCTTAATTCACACTACAACTTCCTAAACAACAACAATTCATCATCAATTTCAAATTCAAAACTAAATTCTTTCCCACCAAAATATGCTCACAATTATCAAGACTTAAATTACAAACATAAAACAATAGAATTAGAGGTTTCTTACCTATAGTTGCTATTCCAAGCTCCAAGGAACAAAACCTAAGCTTTGTTCACTCAAAAGCCCCACTTTTTCACAAGGATGAATAGTGTCACGAATTGGGGGTGATGAATAACTCTCTCCACAAGCCAAATCAGCCCAAAAAGAGTGGTGGAATGGATTCACTAGCCTTTTTCCTTAAAGATTCATGTATGGCATCATGGCTTTTGGTGGCAGAATGAGTGGAAATGAGAGGAATTAAAAAAACAAACCCTAGCCCCTTTCTTCATGGCAGCCGCGGGTTGGGAGGGAAGAAGGAGAGAGAGATGGTGAGTGAATAGTGATTTTAAGTCACTTAAAGGTTTATAAGCACATGTGGCTTTTATCGGATGTTTTTCTTTCGCGTATTTTCACTTAACTGACCCGGAACTAACTTAAATCTACGGACATATTTTTATTTTTCTGAATTCATTTACATTAATTTTTATTCCTTAAGGAACAATATTCTTAATTCACAGTATAGTTTTTGCACCGTTTTTGACGAAATGCACTGTGAATCACTAACTGTACGTCGTTTGCTTACGAAACTTAAAACTTATAAACTTATGATTCTTGGGCCTATTTTGACTTGTATGGCATATATTAGACTTTCTTATTCTTATTTCATTAATTATTTGTTTCTGGACTCTATCGGTTGCTTAAACAGCAGTACAAAATACTTGGTAGAAAACACTATTCACGAGATTTTCACGGAAAGTGCCAGACTATACAATTTTTCGTTCTAAACTCATATTTGGCATCAGAATTGTCAAATTATGTCTCTAAAATCATTTTGCTCATTTAAGCTCCACCGGTTAATTCACAAGAATGCAGATCATCCGGCAAAACGCACCGTTCATGACCTAGTCATGATTACAGTCAAAATACTTGGAATCACGCTTTGAGTCCAATTATGGCATTTAAATCCTTAAATTAAACCTTTAATTAAGGTTTACCAGTTAGGGTTATTATAATGGTGATGGTAGTGGTTGTAACAATAGTGGTGGTAGTTGCTGGCGGTGGTGATGGTGATGGCATGATGGTGGTGGTGACGGCGGTAGCTGCGACAATGGTAGTGATGGTTGGTGACAATGGTGGTGATGGTTGCAGTGGCGACATGGTGGTGGTAGTGGTGACGACAGTGGCGTGGTGATGGCGATGGTGATGGCAGTGGTTGCGATGATGGTGGTGGTGGTGGCGACGGTGGTAGTGAAGGGTGAAGGTGGTGGTGGCATCGTGGTGGTGGTGGTGGTGGTGACGACAGTACTGGTGGTACGACGACGATGATGGTGGCGGTAGCATCGTGGTGGTGGGGTGGTGGTGACGACAATACTGGTGATAAGACTACGGTAGCGACGACGGTGAATTTTTGATACAAGACGTGTGAATTTTTTCTCTGCAATTTTTAAAAGAATACTAATGATAATAAATTGACCCCAAGAGTTAAAAGCAAAGTTGAATAAACTCGTGACGCGTTGATCGGCAGTTCGTTTTAAAAATCACATTTTTGAGTCATTTACCACAATTGAGTTTCTTTTTCTTTATTTGTTTTGGATATTTCCATTTATGGACACGGTTGTTTCTATACAGATGGAAGAACTTTCTTCTTATGCAGACAATATATGCATAATTGTTTCTATACAGATTGCTATTACCAGACGAGGATGATGGCAGAACTATTTTCTCACATTAATAAGAAGGAAAAAAAAACACTGAAAACTGTTTGAAATAAACTTCTATCAGCTTTTTATGATAAAGGTAAAGGAAATTTCGAGTATGGCATGTCATCTCAAAAGATAAATAAATTGTTCAATGTGTATACTGCTATACTCTTTATATTCATAATTGCATGCTTTTACAATTTTAGCAACAAACTACCATTCTATGGAAAAGTAAAATCAATGATGATTATGTGTGCCTTTTACCTTATACAATATGCAGAAGTGGTACAGCTACCAAAGTACTAAACACTTGTCTAAACTTCCTTCTAATTAATTCCCCAAAAAGGGAAGGGATGGTGGAGAAAAGTAAAACTACAAATTGAATAAACTATTTCTTTAGTTGATACATACACCAAAGAGCCTCAAACCCTTTTGTGCATTCAAATCCTGTGTATCCTTGGTCTGTTGGCCTTCATCTTCATCTTCTACTTCACTGCTTGTTGACTTATTTCCCAAAATTTGTTTGGTATCTACAATCTCTCTAAAACATTGCCTTCTCTCATCTGCGTTATAGATTACATCGATCAATGAAAATACTTGTTCCTCTCCCCCTTTCCTCCAATTTATAGGTTCACACACATAAAATGCAATGATGTCTTTAGCCTTCAATTTCTTATCCTTCACAAACCGATTCCACCCTCTTGTGAAAACGTAACTTTGGCTACTCTTCCAATAACAGTATCGAAATTTCCATGATCGCATGAGCTTGTCATAAAAGACAACCTCCATGTCAACACACCCACCATCCATTTCATCATTCACTTCTGCATTGCCACAAACGTAAGGAAAATAGGTAACTGCATGCTTTTTGGGGATAACAAGCCTGTTGAGTTTGCCCACATCACTCGGTGTTAATTCTTTTTGAAAAAGTTGGGTGCAAGAGAATTGTTCCTCACCCTTCACCCTTATATGCTTTGCACTGGTTTCAACACCTTCTTCGCCATGTCTTTGAGTCATAAGAAATGTAGCAAATTTGGATGGATAGGTGCCATCTCTAATCATTCTCAGCACTGCTTCTGCACTATAATGGCTTTGAAATTGAGGCTCATGAACTGTTTGATCATTCCATGGAAAGTTTCTGTGGCTTTCTCCACTTCTAAGCTTGATGGTAGCGCTGTCATAAGCCATGGCAGCCTCTCTTTCAGATTTGAAAGTCCCCAACCATATTCTCTGATGGTTTGCATATATTTGTGAACCCCAATTCCCATTTTGTTGAGGCACAACGCCTTTGAACTTCTGAAACCCTACATTGATATCTTCATACCTTGCACGTTTTGCTCCCTCAAATGCAGAATTCATTTCATTACAATCTGAAGTTTTGTTGTTTGAAATCATGTTTGAATCATTTCCCTCTTCCTCAGAATTTAAAAAAAAAAATTTAATCTTTTTTTTGTCTATCTATGAAATTGAAAATTCAGTATAGGGATGGATGGACACGACAACAACTAATAATGTGAGAAGGATTGTAGCAAAAGACAGATACATTGATTGATATATAAATGAAATCTGGCAATAATGATGTTGTTCTGTTGTACGAAAATGGTAATCAACATACTAACTAAATTTGGTAGTAGTAACAACTCAGTTAAGAAACAGAACTAGTTCAAACAAAATTGAAGTTAGGGTGGAGCAAATCTGGAGTGGCCTTTGCTTAATTTAGAATACCAGATAATCTATTTTCTCGAAACACACAATCTATTTAGCTCAGCATCTTGTTTTGCACATTGTGATGGATAAAGCACAGTTTTGATTTGTTGAGTCTCATTCCCCTGTCACAAAATCTTTCGTTATTCAATGCTAAACAGAAAATAGCACCTGAATGACAAATGTTACGCTTCTTCATGCATGTTATTTCATTTGTCCTCTTAGAATAAGCCCATAATCCAAACCTTCCAGAAGGCCCAATCTGCAATGAAATTGTTTTATCTTATGTACAGGGAATCATATAACTATTCATTTGATTTGGAAAAGAAAATGAAGGGAAGGGGTTTCAAAGGGTCACAGTTTTAATCACGTACCATTTTCAATTTTCCATTAAAAGGTAAATAAATAAAAAATCAAGGTGACTAATTGACATTAGGAAGATGCAGACTGCAGAGGGAGGCAAATAGTAAAACCCTTTTGTATCAGATCATACATTGTTGCAATCCGCTTAATCCATTAACAGGCAACACCCAACTGGAATGTCCAGAAAAAATAATTTATACAAATGTATAAGATTGGGTCAAAAATTCTAAATCCATTAAAAACTAATACTAAATAGGGAGAACATGTTTTTCCTGGACAATTATTTTAGTTAAAATTATTATTATTATTAATATTTAAATTAAAAAAATCTTTCTCTTTCTTCAATTATAATTTCTATTATATAATTGTTTTTCTTATCACGAAATATACTAATTTTAATTAAAATGACACAATTTTATGTTCATTAAAATGACTAACACTAATTTCTGTTGACACTAATTTCAGGATGATTTTTTAGTATTAATTTCATGTTAAACTTTTTTTTTGGGGGGGGGGGAGATTAAATTTATCCTCACTTTGATTTAATAAGATACCAAAAAGAAAAAAAAAAGTTATTAATTAACTAAACAAACTAACGAGTAACGAGATACATTAGGAGCCACGTAAAGATCATTTTTCCTTTGAACAATTTCAGTGGGAAACAAGACTTTAAGTTCCCGTTGAAATAGGATCCACACAAGGAAAATCACTTGCCATTCGTTGGTTATTAGGGGCATACCGAAAACGTCCGGATACAAATTTATCTTATGTATTTTTTATATACACAATCTAGATCTTGTCTATTTTTTCCCGGGGGATCCTTAGAATTACCACTGCTTAGCTTTCAATTCGCCTCTGACCATCAAATGAAATGTGAATAACCCGTCCTCTCCTACACTATGGTCACCGCAGTAGAGTTTAACTACCAAGTTCGGGATGGATTGGTGTGGTTCCTCTACGCCCCATATTTACACCAAAATACAATAGATAAATAGTCATTCGATGAAAAATCATAATCATATAAGTATTCTATTTTAAATATTATATATCATTTATGGGAAATATAAGAATCATGTTGCAGGAATGACACTGTTCATTTATACAAAAAGGATCCGGCAACGTATCTTGAGGATACGGCGCCGTATCCTGATTTTGGTTTGACTTTTTTTTGTTAAGCGTGGGACCCACACTTGATTTGTGTGTGCAGGAAAATGATCTTGTCATGTGACATGACAAAAAGCGAACCCATCATTTATTTACTATTATGTTTGGATGAGTTTTTTTTTTTAAGTGCTTTTCATTTTATATATACATTTGCAGTTTTTGAAGAAAAAAAATAATTAAATTATTATTATTATTTAGATAAAATTCCTGATTTCTGAAAAAAAAAGTCAAATACTTTTTTATTTGAAAGTACATTTTGGATATGTTATGTCTTTTTTTTTACCTGTTCAATTATTGTTGTTTTTGTTTTTTTTTTCGTAGGTCACAACTCAGATTGTAGTTCTACAAGAATGCAGAAAATGCATTTGGCTGCGTTTGGTTTTATTGAGGGATATGAATGCCTACCAATATGTATATATGACTTCGTGCTATTCTCGTTTTATGTTATTTTTCCGCAAAAGGGTTTGTGTGTCAAACCAAAAAAGTGATGTCCGGTTTAAAGTTTGCATTCTTTGTATGTGGGAGATGAGTTTACAAAATTATTTGCTTATGTGACTACTAAGTTAACAAAAATAATGAACAAGCTTGTTCGAGATTTTCTTTTAACATGATTGCAAATGTATATGCCCTAGGTTGGTCCAATTCGAAGTTTGGTAATAATTGCACGAGCTTGTAAAGAACTAATTTAACTTAAAATCTTAAGGTTATTAGTGAGACTACATTAATAATTTTACATATCTCTGACACACCCTATCACGTAAGATTCCTTTAAGCTTGAGGTGTGAATATTGCACAGGCCCATCTTTTAGTCTATCTTGTGCTACAAATGTTTATTTTTTATTTACCTTGTGCTTACTTAATTCCACCACAAAGTGGTGCAGTGAGAATTGAACTCATGATCATTTTGTCACTCCAACTCTCTAATATCATATAAAGAATCAATTCAACCCAAAATTTTAAACCTAATACAAGGCTACATTAATCATTTTATATTCTAGTTTCACAATTCAAGCAATAAGCTTGTGGACAAGCATTGAAAGTAAAATGAGCCTTAATTTCATCAATTGACAACAGAGCATTTAACAGAGCCCCACAAGTAAACAGCATTTACATATTCACTAAAGAAAAGACACATCTTTATAATGTCATAGACATGAATTCATGATTGAGTTGAGACTATGAATGACATGATTGATGAATTCGGAAATAATATTTACCACATAATTGAAAAGTGAAATGGAAGTTAGGCTATCAAATATTTTAAGAAAATAAGAACTTGAAAGGGACTAGAAGATCTAAGATTCATTGTCAGGTGGAATGAGAGACCCCAAGTCCCCACTGCCATTATAAGCTTTTATGGCAGAAGTAACCAGCTTGTGGCACAGAATGATCTATCAAAGAGTTTAAGACTTTTCCTCTTCCCTATTCAGTATTCACAACTATCCTCTTCCAAATAGTCACTTTCTCTTGTCTTATCAATTCTAATCATGTAACTTATTTCTCTCTCACTCCGTATTTTTGGCTAAGCAATATCAATAATAAAGCTTACTTTGAAAGTGATATCCCTCGTGTCGTTCTTCCCCACGTCCCCTTTATAATGCATGCTACAATTCAACATTATCAACCCAACCCTCTTCATCCTTTCAAGATTTTCTTCATCTTTATACCTATTCTCTGCGTTTTGTGAGTGCTTTTCTTTCTGCATTAACTTTATTAGCTTTTCTGTATTAGTTTTTTTTTTATCTATGCACTGTCTACTCTATTATGTCCTGCCTTCATTGTCCTACTGTATGGTTCAAAATTCAAATTCACCACAAGCTACTTATTGCATGAATCACCTTTGTGTTATTTAGCTTCTTGGTTGGATTAGTAGTTTAAACAAAGTTTTGCATGCTGCAGATGGAACCAAGAATGGCCACTTCATTCTCTGTCAACTCCCCCAATGTTTCAGCAACCAAGGTACTCTGTCAAATAAGGGTCCATTCAATAGCACTTATTTTAAAGTTTCCAATTTCCCATGCAGGGTGATACTTATGGGGTTGGGGATGTAGTTTCAATTTGTTTGCTAGAGATGTAATATATGCTTGGCTGTGATTAATATTTAAAGAATAATTTCTTAAATTAGATTTTGATTAAAAGTTATTTTTTAACTCAAAAATAATAACAATTACACAATCAAATAATTCATCTGTGATACAAAAAACTTAGAATTACACTATCCACAAATAGACCTACTACTATATTTGAACACCAATTTTTTACTTCAAAAGTTGTAATTTATATGGTCAAAAAGTAGCTAGTTATATATATGATGCTGAGTAAGTCCACTAAAATATCATAGATAGATTCCTTTCGTGGCAGAAATATTTAAAAAATAATTTTGTTGTTTTCTTGTATACGTATAATGTATAATATTTGCTTTGAAAATAAATAGGTAATAGAAGGAAATGGTATCTACAGAGACGAGCCAGTTGTGGAGAAAAGTAGCAGGGTGGATGAGAAGAAAACAGGAGGGACAAAAATTGCAAGCCTCTTGCTATGTACTAAAACAAACGATCGGTTATAATTTTTGGGTTCTCAAGAGAAAATATGTTGAGCCATTAATTATTTTGTTTGATTACATCTTTCTTTCTTTGTCTTATCCATTAATCTTTCAATTTTTGACTCAATGCAGTGAATCAAGCACTAGCTACACTAGCTTTCTTTGGAGTTGGAGTGAACTTGGTTCTGTTCCTAACCAGAGTTCTTGGTCAAGACAATGCCCATGCTGCTAATAATGTCAGCAAGTGGACAGGAACTGTTTACATGTTCTCATTAATCGGAGCATTTCTTAGTGATTCATACTGGGGTCGATACTTAACATGCACAATCTTTCAGCTTATTTTTGTTCTGGTATTTTACCACTGGTCTTTCTATTGTAACTTTTGGTTAACAATGTTGGTGAATTTTTCTACTTTCTGACACTTGAATGTGTGTGTGTGTGTAATAGGGCTTGGCACTGTCCTCATTGTCATCTTGGCGTTACTTAATCAACCCAGCTGGTTGTGGTGATGGCAATACTCCTTGTATGCCCACATCCTCATTTGGAGTTAACATTTTCTACTTGTCCATATATCTTGTCGCATTTGGTTATGGTGGGCACCAACCTACCTTAGCAACCTTTG